CACACACACACACAATAAATAAATGTAATAAATAAAAATAAATAAATAAATAAATAAAGTCCTATGTGAACTACAATGAAAATATTTTGTTTTTTATTTTATTTTATTTTTTTTGGTGGAACCAGGGATTGAACTCAGACCCTTGGGCTTGCCAGGGAAGCACTTATTCCACTGAGCCATTTCCCTGGCCCCATTAGTTTTTTATTTTGTTTTTTATTTTTTATACTACAATGAAAATACCAATAGAATGCTACCACAAAAATGAGCTTTGCTTTAACTGTCACACCCGGGGCGGTCTTCACACGTGACAACTGCGTGTTCCGTGTGTATGTCTTGCTTACACTGACAGCATGTTTGCTGAGCTTTCCTTTCCTAGGTCTTGTCACCTCTCCTCCTGTTTTTCCAGGAGCTTTCACTATATTGTACAACGTGTACTTAGCAGGGAAATAAGCTGTCAATAAAATAGCTACACAGTCTAGCTTGGATACTCGTACTGCTGATTTCTACTGGTCTGTTGAAAGGAACAGCTAATTCTTATTTTTTTCTTTTTAATTTTTTGATCAATTTTGCATGTTTATATCTGGTAATCTGAACAAATAATTTGAAGACAACAATATACAATATTGCAACAATCATTGAATTACAATCATTTTGCTTAGTGAAATTCTATATAGTTTCTATTGTTTTTAAATGATTTTTAATACCAAATCTGTAATGTTTAAAATAGACATCAACATTTTCACATAGGGGCTGGGGAGATGGCTCAGTGGAATAAGCACTTCCCTGGCAAGCGCAAGGGCCTGAGTTCAATCCCTGGTTCCGCAAAAAAAGAAACAAAAAACATTTTCACGTAAGTTGCTTACTTGCTTACAAAACCTAAAAGATAACATCCAAAGAAAAGCCTATGCGAACTCTAATGTAAACACAAAAGTCTACCACAGAAATAAGCTTGGCTTCACCTCACACCCAGGAAGTCTCCACATATGACAACTGCATGCTCCATACACAAATATCCCTTACACAGCTAGCATGTATGTTTTATTTTCCTGGATGTTCTTACAGAGCCCAGTTGACATCTTTTTTGTTTTCCTCTTGTCCCAATAGGTCTTTGTGATCCTTCGCCTGCCTGTTCACCTGTCAGCTCACTGGCCTGCTCCACAATTTTTTGCTTATTTCTCTCAGAAGAAACACTCTGTCTTCCCTCTGCTGCAAATGATTTCTTTTGAGCTCCAGTCCCGATCCTCTAAGAAAACTTCTCCGCGATGTTTTGCACCTGTTATTATCTTTGCACACTATCAAGCTATCTATGCCACTCATGTGTGGGAGGCGATGGAACGCTCCTCTTACACTTTCCCTTATTTGGGCAAGAAATGCTGCAGCACCAATCCCTGCTTGCCTCGGCATCTTCCTGTGGTCCCGGACTTTTGCTACCAATCTGCAACTAGTCCCGCCCAACTACCTCCACTACACGGCTATTTAGACCCTGCTCACTTC